GAGAAAAGAGCAGTAAGAATTATAGACCAGTCAACTTCTAGAAGCTTCAAGAGAATTGAACTATCAATCAAACAATTTGCAAGCTCCTAGGAGATAAAAAGGGAGATGAGTGACATTCAGCATGGATTATACAAAAATGAGGCATGTTAAACTGATTTCATTTGATTTCTCAGCAGATGTAGGAGAGGAATAGTTGATGCTATACCTCAGTTTTGGGAAGGATTTGACATGGTCCCACTTGACTTTCATAAAGTGACCTGGAAGAATAGTCTGGATAAAACTACTTCAGATCTTACACAAAAATGGATGAGTAGCCAACTCATTCCCAAAGAATACAGTTGCCAGGGGCTCGTGGTGAGAGCAAAAGACCCTGTGAGCCAGGACTCTGCAGGGGTCTGGGTTGATTTTCTTCAAAATTTTCAGCAGTGAAAAATGGATGAAAAGACATAATTGCATCTGACAGTGTGGTGAAGCTGGGAGAAGTGCTTCAGCACATGGGAGAATGAGCTTTACAGCTTATAATGGTCTTGTCAGGTTAGAGGAGTGAGGACTGGGTCTATCTAGTCTGCAGCACTGTGCCTCAAGAAGGAGGAGGACCCATTTGGAGTAGGTGTAGGGACGAGTCATTGCATTTACTAAACCTGGCTTGGGTTGGAAGGGCTGCAAGGCAAGCACCAGAAGAGCTTGTCTGGGATTGGAGCAGGTAGGAAGGAAACTGTAGCCTCTGCTGCAGGAGGTTTTCAGGACAGATGGACAAGTATTCCCACCAGGAGTCACCTATGCAAACTGGCTGCTTGCTTGGATCGACCCCAAGCTGCGATCTGGCCCCACCATGCTGGAGCTGCTGTGTGCTTTGTTCAGAGCTGCCATTCCACCACCGCTGGGGCAGTGCTGTCAGCAGGGACATACGGCAACATTATCTTTGACTTTGCCTTTTGAATACGTTCGTTTTGTAGTGAGAGGCTGAAGGTATGTAAGTGCTGTGTTGAACGAAAGCCAAAGCAAGCTGCTACGTAGAATGCACCCTGTGTTTCCATGTATTTCATTTATTTTGTAATTAAGCAATAATTGCTGAGGAGCACTGGGCACTTCTTCAGGATTAATGACTTGCTAGAGGACAGCAGCAGATCTGGTTTGCAGCGGAACCATTTTCCCCAGCAAATACCTGTCCATTAATGCCATTCTAAAATAAGTATGACAACATAACATGCAAACATATGGGGTTTGCTGTTAGCAGCTGAGGGATATGGAGCAGGCATTCATAGGCGCATTAGACAACCAGGTTGCTTCAGTTGTCTCTCACTGTTCCATTCAGAGCAGGGTGTTTCATTAGGCATTTGGTGAATGAAATGGCTTTTTAATTGCTCAGAATCACTTTTTTAAATTACAGCATTGTCTCCCCTCTCCACAGCCCCCAGGGATCCTTTTAAAAACCTTTTTTTCCTTTGCCCTGGAGAGAACTGTCTCCAGTGTGGCGAAGAGGAACCTGCCTGCAGCAGTTCCCTTTGTATTTCAGACAGACAAAAATACATTCAAAAACAGAGGATTCACATTTTTAGTGGTGAAAAACCTCTGTTCCCAATAGTGTGCAGGTTGCTTAAGGAGTAGCCCACCCTGCCTGAACCTTTAAAGACTTCCCGGTCTTGATGTACTGTTCACATCTATTAGTTCCTACACCTTGTGCATTTTTAATGGCCACAGCTCCCTACAGTATCCAAACCCTATTGCTGCTTGTCTAGTGTGGCACACAAGCTGGCTCCAGCCATGACCCATAACAATATACCTCTCAAGAGTGTTGTTGGAGCTTTAGATGCCCTCAAGGCAAAAAAGCATAACAGCAGGCAAGGTGTGTCCCAAACAGGTGAGCAGCAGCATGAACATTTCCAAAGGACTATGGAAAAAGCTGCCATGGAAGCTCAGCCGTCAGCTCACCAAGGCAAGCAAGAAGAGAAACGTTTGCTAGAAGCATATAGGACAATAAACCAGTTCACAGTGTCCTAGAGGCTTTGGAACAGCACTAGTCAGTGGGGATTTGCTCGCTCACATATTAAGTAATGTGCTAACTGCATGATTGTTTAATCCGTAGGTATTTCCTACAGCAAAACTTCAATCCTGGCATCCACAGTGCTGCTTCTAGTTGCTGTGCCTGCCTTCCTGGAGAGATTTCACATAAGAACAATTAGGGTGTTTTTTCTCCACACTATTTTCTGCCCCTTTGAAAAGTAGTGCCTTTATGGCTGTGCTTTGAAGGATGTCAGCATGCTGCCCAGTCAGCAGTATAGCCACTGAGGAATCACTGAGCCACTCTGCATGAGTTAATTCTGCCCCTTCGGCACAAGGAGCCCTGTTACTTGATAGGGAGCTTACTGGCCAGGAGTGTTTAGAAACAGTAAGTGTTTAGAAGTGAAAATGTCAGGCAATAACTTTATGGCACAAGGCCAGAGGTGGTTTAGATTCTGAAGAAGGCCATTCAGCCCTCTTTGCCATATCAAGACCCTAGCTGATGCCTGTCAGTGAAGGGCAGAAACAAAGCCAGCCTGAGGTGCGGGCATCACTCCGATCTTCACCAGCATGGTCAATAGCTGGACCAAGCAGATCTCGACTGCATCCTCTTGTGGCCTTTACACTGCCCCTCATGCCTGTCCTCACCCCTTTCTTCATTGGCACAGGTTGCCCAGAGAAGCTGTGCCTCCCCCATCCCTGGCAGTGTTCAAGGCCAGGTTGGACAGAGCTTGGAGCAACCTGGTCTAGTGGAAGGTGTCCCTGCCCATGCAGGGAGTTGGACCTGGATGAGCTTTAAGGTCCTTTCCAACTCAAACCAGGCTGTGGTTCTGTGATTCTTATCCCACTTTTATGTTTCCTTCTCTTAGTTGACCCAGAAGCAACATTCAGTCTCCCCTGCCCCAGATCCCAACCCCAAGCCAACCAACCAGAAAGAATGAATTATTTCTGTCAATGCTTTCGCTAACCGCCTGCCTGCCTCCCACAGGGCCCCGCTCTGCCAAGCTCATTGCTGTCATGTTCAGAGCTGGGAGGAACAGTGCTGTGCAGTCTTCCTTGAATGTGAACAGGATTGATGCAGATCCCTGTGCTATGTGCCAGCCATAACTCTTCAGGTTTGACTACAACTTTTGACAAAGAACACATTTCCCAGAAGTTCTGCAGCTTGTCTGAGTAACAGTAAATGATCCATGAGATCCAGTGCTGACACACAGTTCTCTGGCTCCTCTCCTTCCCCTGTACTCAAATGGTGCTATTCCAAACCTCAGCACAAGCACTGGATAAAAGCTACGGAATACAAGGTCTGCTATTGCCCATAACTCCTCATCAAAATCAAAACCAGCTATAGAAGGAATTTTGACAAATTTACAAGTCTGGATTTACTAAGTCAGAAAGGTTTTTCCCCAGCCCTGCTCTTCTCAGCCTAGTTGAGACAAACCAGCAGCCCTTTGTGCTGTTCCCAGCACCGTTTCTCCTTCCCGGAGCTGGGGTACCCGAGCGGGGGGCTCTGCCCAGCTCCTAGGATCAGTAGCTTAAAATTTTCCTGGACATCAGTTAAATCTGAACTACTGCCTGTCTTGGGCTGTCTTTACTTGTAGCCATATTTTTCCAGGACTCAGAGGGTGTTGGAGCAGCTCCTCCCAGGAGCTCAGTGTTCAGTGATGTGTGAGCAGAGGTTGTGGTGCAGAGAGCAGAGAGTCAGCCACTTGTGTCAGAAAACCTTTCGTGAGCTGCACATCAGGGGAAGTAGATCTATGCCTTTGTCAGCATGTTTCTATCAGCCTTGTTCTTCATGTAATCATCTGTTAACAACACAGGTCTGGCATCCAGCCCCATTTTGCACCACCATCCCAGCACTGTATCTGTTGCAAGCTCACTGTGATGCCTGCTAGCACTGCCTCTCCCTGTGGGGGTGCCAGCACTGGTCAGGATCTTGTTTGGTGTGCATCTGATTTAGAAAGAAAGGAAACAAACCCCCATGTTATTGACAGGATGAGAGGTTTTACCAGTGACCAGAAGGACTCCCTTGTCCAGTGAGATCTGAGGATGAGCAAGCAAGGACTTCATTTTGACTAAGCAGGTCATCCTCCCTGCTGATATTTAAGAGACAGGATCATAACTTATGTCTTCACTGAGAAGAATTGTTGTCAAACACAATTAGCTCTGCAAATCTAAGCTGTCTTCTAGACACACCAGGCTTAGTTCTGCTTAGTTTTTGAGTTACTTAGAGTTGAAGAAACTATAGGGTCAATCTTCTGACCTGAGCAAAGGACTGGGAGAACTTGCTCCATCATTCTTTTTTGTGGAGTTTAATAGAGACTAACACACAGAGCTATCACTGCAGTGTGAGGAGCTGATAGGATGTGGGTCTCATTCCCACCTCACTTGAAGAAAGGATAACATAACATGCCTCGAGACAGCAAAACTCCCAGCACAGTTCTTAAAGGAGAGGGAAGGAGGGAGGAGGCGTGGAGGGTTGTAAATATTTTTTAAGAGCTACACAGCTAAGTAACTTCTCATATCCATGCCTTTGTCCCTCATGCTTTCAAGGGTATTTCAACTCTAGTTCCTTTCGTAAGGCACCCCAGGTGCCTTTCAATTACTTGTTTCTGTGGTTAAGATCTGATGGTCATTGTAAGCGTTGAAAATATTTCCATGCATTTTGACAGGGAAGGTAATGTGGGACCTGGCACCCCCATTCCATGTGAACATGAGGCTCTCTGGGCTCTGGCATTTGCAGTTTGGTTGGGAGGGACGTACTATATGTACCGACCCTGCACAAAACCTCCTTGAGAGAGAGCTAAAAGGATGCTAATTCCAGGCACTGGGCTCAGACACACGACTGGCGAACAACCAGAAAGGTTTAAAAAGAAATGCTGACTGAATTAAGTGAATCGAGCTGGCAGATGTGCTCTTCAAAAGAGCACAGTTCTCTTTGAAATGCCTCCCCCATTGAAATGACGTTCTCAAGAGGTTTTTGTCCTTTGCATTTTCTTCAGGATCATCCATGAGGATGGCTTCTCTGGAGAAGATGTGAAGCAGTACAAGCCAGTGGTCTACAGCAACACTATACAGTCACTGGCAGCGATTGTACGTGCCATGGATACCTTGGGCATCGAATATGGTGATAAGGAGCGACGGGTAAGTTAAAATCACCACTGCTTGGGTACAGAGAGCTGAGCACCTGGAGACTCCAGAGCACAAACAGGAGGCATTTGCACAATCTGAGTATCTTAGAGGGAAGAGGAGAGTGGGGGGAAGATCTGCATCTCTGCTGTACGCTTATTGCACACGCAGGTTGTGCAACCAACCGAAGCACAAAAACAATTGCATATGACATGCCATTTGTACACCTACCCTAGGAAGTGTAGCCCTAGAGACCAGTATGTTACAACAGCCACAATCTCTAATTCCCTGGCACTAGCCAAGCCAGCACAAAACAATTTTGTTGCCTAGGGACAGCCTAGAGAGGGGTACTGGGGAAGATACAGGGAAACAGGTAGAACGTGCTAGATCCACAGGCTGCCAGGAGAGGTATCTTGGGGAGAAATCTTGCTGCTGTTCAAATTCCCTCCACCAGCCTGCCCTGGCAGGAAAGCTTTTGGAATTGACTTCAGTGAGGACTGGACTGGCTCTTATGTACCCTAAACAGCAATTTCACTTGCAAACAAGGGGATGTACTACTTCAGTGAGGTATGTATGTACAGCAGGCAGCAGTATTAGCATGTGTCTTATCAGAATAACTGTGATGTCTGGCAGCCTCCTCATGCCACACACCTAGGCCAGTCTGTCCTTTTACAGTTGCCACTCTGTTGTTACTTTAACCAGCATCCTATTTTTAAACAGTGGCTCCTCTGTGAGGTGCTCCTGCCAGCCGCTGCCTTTCCTTTTCATGTTTCTGGCTCAGACCAAGCCCACACAGAGAAAGTCAGAGCTCTAGAGAAGTCAAGACGACCCTTTTTGCATGCTGCCATCCCAGAGGAAGTGAAACTACTTGGTTTCACTGGAAATAAAATAATTTCAGATTGAAGACCTGGTAAAGACAAAGTCCTATATGCCACTGAGTTAGTCAGGACTATTTTTAGGTAGCTATCAAATGACAAATGTATGACATACCCCAAACTCCTTATCTGAGGGTTGATAATGAAAGCATTCACTAGAAAGGACGCCAAAATCCTGCTGTGGTGTTACTGTATGAAGAGGTACCCTGTCGCAAAGGGTTATTTCGATTTCTTTGCATGTAGGGATTTTTCCCACAGGAACCCTAAATCCTGGAGACGTTTCCATCTCAAACATACAGATGATACCATAATGGAGTTCTTGTGAGCTTGCCGAGAACTAATGGTGATGGCTTTCAAACGGAATACATTAATCTGTTGATTACTCGGTGACTCAGCTCTCAGCAAGGCAACGTACCTTGTCTCAACTAAAAACCTATGCCCAGGAAAACAGAAACAAATCATTCTCCATGTCTGATAAACAGTCTGTGGCAGACAGCTTTAAAATGTAAAATTTCTTTTTTTTTTGCAATAGCTGAAGTCCTAGTTTGAGCAGAGAAGCTCAGCACTGCTTTAGTGCCAGGCCTGGAAAAGCATAGGGTATGGAGGGGGAGAGCTGTTATCAGGACTGCCAGGAATGAGAGATGGAGCACTGGGCTACACAAAACATCGTGTCTGTTCTTATTGCTATGGACAAGGTGCCGAGTGTTCCTAGGATCATATGATAACTCAGGCTGGAAAGGAGTTTGGGAGGTGTCTCACCCATCCTCCTGCTCACGCAAGGTCAGCTCTGAGGTCAGACCAGGTTGGTCAGGGCTTTATCCCATCAGGTTTGAAATCCTCTGAGTTTGGGGACTGCACAGCCTCTTTGGGCAGCCTGGTCCACTGCTTTGCTGTCTTCATGATGAAAAGGTTTCTCCTTATGCCTAGTGTGAAACATTCTTGTTTCAGTTTATGCTTTTGGCAGTAGAGATCATGAACTACACCTTGCAAAGTATAAAGCAAATTAGATTAAGTTCTCCCCAACATAGTTGCTCTAAGATATGAAGTCCTAGAGGAATTATTCCTGTCTTACAATGGTGTCATGCTGACTGTGTACAGACAAGCCTGGAACAAAGCATTATAAACCAAACAGTCTGGGAGGGCAAATTCAGAGTGTCTTCTCCCTTCATAGACAGGAGTAGTATTCCTTCATCTAGCAATCGATGCTTAGTAGATAAAGGGGAAAGAAACCAAATCTTGCAGGCTGTGGTCTTCCACTTGCTCCTTTCTTTTAGTCAACCTCCACAGAAAGTTGCTGGTATTAGTATGAAACAGTATTTATTTTAATCTTATGAAGAAGCACATGGCTTCCACTCCCCCATTTTTGTTATTAATGCACAGCTGCTTTAAAGAGAGACCATTACACAGGCGATTTGAGTATTACACTACATGGTTCATCCCTTTTCAAGCAAAGCTTTTCTATTTTAAAAGTCATTCCTCAGCCATGGGTTTCCAATGCAAATCTTTTAGCGGGGGATTTTCCCCTACTCATCACTTAAACCCCCAAGAGAAGAGAGCTTGGGAAGGGGAGCCGGGCCTGCAGCTGCTCAGCCTGGTTCAGGATTTCCTTAGGGACCACTCAGCTATTACAGCATCCCCCATCCCAACTTCATGGGAGATGCATCTACCCCTGTATCCCTTCCAAATGGCACCCTGATATGATTCAGAGAAAAAAAAACAACCCTCCTCTACTTAATAAATGTGAATGAGATGATTTGTGCTTTTGTTATTGAGGTAAAATAACTAAATCCTATCTCACTGTTCTCGTTTTATTCCTGCCCATAATTATACCTCCAGTCTAATAGAAGCAAATGACCAGAAGAGTCCAGATTAACCCACTTAGGCTTTTGTCAGTCGAAGTGAGATCAGTGTAGGAAATACGAGCTAATACGTCAAAATAAATCACAAAAAGCATATGTTCCAGGTCTTGCTGACCTCTTTGCTGATAAGAACCTGTCCCCAAGTTAAGAACAAAACAGTCTACATGTAGGTTTTCACTTTTATGTGTTTTTCTTGGTGCAGGGGAACAGGTTTTCTTACAGTTGTGCCTGGCTCAAGGTTCATAGCCTGAGGGCAGCACGTAGGTCCTTGTTTTGTATCCTTCAGCACAGGGAGGCAGGACCATATGGCACGTTACCACCGTGCACAACCCAGAAGGTCAGTCTGGAGCTCCATAAAAGCCATAAAGTGCTAAGTCACAAATCCTTTACATGTTGCAAGAGGGAAGGCAAAAAAGGAGCAGTCAGTGAGGAGACAGGAGGTGGCTACAGGAGGAGCAGCATCTGTGTGTATTCCTCATCTCCATGGCCATTGCTGCCCAAGGGCTGGATCACTCACTACCCAAGAGCAAGAGGGTACATGGAGGAAAAGGGGCAGAGGCTTGATCTTGCCTGGCTACACAAGACCCTCCGGCTGGCCTGTAGGCCACTGCTTAATCTTTACCTTTATAATCAGATTAACAACAGGAGAGAGTCAGGCCATAACATATAGCCTCTGGATTAAAAAGTTCTCTAAAGTGCAAATATATTAATAAAGAAAGCTCCTCACTGATTCCCTTTCACTGCACCAAGGTGGAATAAATAGGAAATGGAGATTTAAAGCCAGGAATCCAGAAGTTGGCACAAGTGTTTGGATCTGATCAAGCAGGAAGGGCAGGGAAGTGATGGATTTTCATCTTTCCATTTGAAGAGACAGTTCTATAGTCTGGCTTTTGAAATCCCAGCCAGAAGAAGCATAAAGGGTCTTCCTTGGTGGGTCAATGCTGACCTCAGGAGCTGCTTGGAAATCCAGCACCTATGATCCCACTGCAGGCTGGTATGGAAACCGCTGTAGAACGTGTTCATGTTAGCATAAACCAGACAGAAACAGGCTGAAATTGTTCAGAAATCACTCAGCAGAGAATCCCAGTACCAGTAGTGTGGCTCAGTTACAAGTGTCTGAGGTGGCAGGGTCACAGGTCCAGTGCTCTGGGGCCGGAGGTGGCAGGCAGTGACCTTCACATTGAACTTGTTTCCCAGCAGGAGTCTGGAGGTGTCTCTGCTTCAGCTATGAAAGGGAAAGCAAAAAAGCTGCTAAAGCGTTAAAAAAAATTTGTAGGGAATTTTTTTCTTTCAGGCTTTGTAGCCAAATGTGTCTGTGGTGACCTTATGCTGTATACGGTGTGTAACTCCAGAACTGGGAGCTAAACAAATATGTACCTGGGACATTTTAAATACTGGCTAGTAATATTAAAAAATAAATCAGTTTAGTGTAGTTGAACAACCCCCTGAGGCAACTGGCAAAAGGAGCCATGTGCACTGGAGCTGCATCTAACCTGCTTCTGAAGAGGAGGATGTGTGCAGAAATCCAGAGCTTCCAGCCCATGCCCTCTGCACATGCCGAAGGTGATTTTAGGAGCTGCCCTCTTCCTCGCTCCTGCTCACTGGTGGCAGGACCAGGGACACAGCACTGTCACCTGCTGCCTTCCAGTCACTTCCAGTCTCCAGAGTGTAGGAGAAGCTCTCTTTTGTAAGAGTTGCTCCTCTGTGACTGGCTTTCCCGGCTTGTCAGATCAAGGTATTTGTGGATTTTACTTCATTTCAGGCAGAATCATAGAACTGTCTGGGTTGGAAGGGACCTTCAAAGCTCATCTAGTCCAATCCCCTGCAATAAGCATGGACATCTTCAACTAGATCAGGTTGCCCAGAACCACATCCAGCCTGGTCTTGAATGTCTCCAGGGATGGCACATCCGCCACCTCTCTGGGCAGCCTGGGCCAGTGTCTTGCCACCTTTGCTGTAAACAATTTCCTTCTCACATCCAGCCTGAATCTCCCTCTTTTAGTTTAAAACCATCACCCCTCATCCTGTCACAACAGGCCCTGCTAAAAAGTCTCTCTCCCTCTTTCTTATAGGCCCCTTTTAAGTACTGAAAGGCTGCAGTAAGGTCTCCCCAGAGTCTTCTCTCTCCTGTTTTGCCCTGCTGGCTCCTACTGCATGTCCCTAACCTGAGCTCTCTGAGAAATGCCAAAAGCTGTATAACTCTGGGGAGGGCAGGCGAAGTTAATCAGACACCACTGTGCTAGTAGGAAGTCCCAGCTTGCTGACTGGTAGCTGATGGGGT